TTTTTTCTGTCTTACCTTTCTTTCTTTCTCTTTTTCTTGTTTTGTAGGTTGGTTGCCCGCCCCTTTTTTTCTCGGTCCTTGTTCTTTTTTCTTTTTTTTTTTTTTTAAAGATTTATTTATTAATTATGTATACAGTATTCTGTCTGCATGTATGCCTGCAGGCCAGAAGAGGGCACCAGATCTCATTACAGGTGGTTGTGAGCCACCATGTGGTTGCTAGGAATTGAACTCAGGACCTCTGGAAGAGCAGTCACTGCTCTTAACCTCTGATCTCTCTTCTTTGATCCCTGCTCTCTCCTTCTAGTTCTTCTCTCTGCCTGCCAACTCCGCCTGTCCTTGCTCCTGCCTCGCTATTGGCCATTCAGTGTTTTATTAGACCATCAGATGTTTTAGACAGGCAAAAATCACAGCTTCACAGTTAAACAGATGCAACATAAAAGAATGCAACACATCTTTGTATCATTAAAACAAATGTTCCACAGTATAAACAAAAATAACACATCTTAAAATAACATTCCACAAGACACGCATTGCCCAAGGAGGTCAGAGGAGGCATTAGATGCCCTGGAACAGCTGTGAGCTGCTTCAAGAACAGCAAATGCTCCTAAGTGCTAAGCCATTTCTATAGCACCCCGCTCCATCCCCTTTTCTCCTATAGGTACTCTGACTGGCCTCGAACTCTCAGAGAGCCACCAGCTTGCCTCCCACCCACATGCTGGAAGTAAAGGTGTATACTACCACACTTGGTTCAAGAATCATTGTTACCTTAGTACTACATGGTGCACATACATACATACAGGCAAAACACACATAAAATGAATAAATCTAATAAAGAAATTAGAAAGAGGAAAAATGGGGGGTTTCACAGGCAAGCATGAGCAAGCACGAGGGTCTGCATTCAGTTCCTCAGTACTATTTATAAAGCCATGTGCAGTAGCTGCACCGGTAGGGGAAATTGGAGGGTCCTTGGGCAGTTTAACTAAATTATTGAACTCCAGGTAAAATGTGATTGCGTTTCAAAAAAATTATGGAACCAGGAAGATGTAGTGATTAGTGCCTTTAATCCAACACTTGGGAGGCGGAGGCCAGGGATCTCTGTGAATTTGAGGCCACCCTGATCTATTTAATAAGTTCTAGGCAAACCAGGGCTACACATTGAGATTCTGTCTCAAATCTAAAACAGAAAAACTATATGTGCTGGTGTGCGCTTATATTCCCAGTGCTTGGGGATTGACTAGTCAACCTAGTCTTCATCAGTGAAACCCCAGTCTTCGTGAGAGATCTTGTCTTAGAAAACAAATTGCAGGGCTAGGACTCAAGGATATCCTAGAGATGACTCAAGCATAAAGTGCCTGACTGTATCATCACGAGGAGCACAGTTTGCACCCTAAAACCCATGTGAAAAGTAGGCAGGCACAGTAGCTGCCTGTGATCCCAGCATTCAGAAGGGAGACAGGAGATCCCCTGGGAAGTGGCGAGCCAGAGTGTCTGTAGCTATGGCCCTGGATGTCGCAGTATCTATAAAAGATGGACAGTGGCCCTGGATGCCGCAGTATCTATAAAAGATGGACAGTGGCCCTGGATGCCGCAGTATCTATAAAAGGTGGACAGTGGTCCAGGAGAACACCTGACGTGTGCACATGTGCACTCATACCACACATACACACACAAAGGGAGGGAAAGAGGGTCATAAATTTACCATTACTGTTTTTTTTTTTCTGTTGAATATGAACCACATCCAATAATACATTTTCCTTTTATGTACAGGATATGAGGTCGTCAAACCCAGTCTGATCTCCTGGTTGGAGGAGGAAGATTTACAGGAAGTGCAGAGAGAAGGTTTCCAGGGTGAGTAGGCATGGGGAAACAATTGTGATCAGGAAGTTCCTTAAGTTTGACAATAGGATGGAGGGTTTTTGTTGATTTGGTTGGGTTTGGTTTGGTTTGGTTTGGTTTGGTTT